TCCTGACTGCATCCCCACACTGCTGGCCCATGTTCATCTAGTCCATCGCTAGAATAGATTTGATTTGAAAAAAGGCAATTGATTTTAAAAGAGGCAGTGTGTCTACTACAGGCCTCTGCACCAGGAGGATAAGCTAGACTGGGAACTTTCCAGGCAGCTTTCAGGGGCAGTGTGGTCTAGAAGATATTGTAGTCATGGGGGAACTTAACTACCCAGACATATTCTAGGAGGAACAGTCAGCTAGATCTAACCACTCACACAGGTTCTTAACCTGTATCCAGGACCACCACCTAACACAGGAGGTAAGGAGTCCCAGCAGGGGTAACGCCATGCTCAACTTGGTGCTGGCCACAGGGGATGATCTGGTGGGGGAACTGCAGATTCAAGGCAACCTAGGGGACAGCGATCACCAAATGATAAAATTCACTATCCAGAGAAGGGCGGGCATTGTACCCAGCAGGACACAGGTGCTAAACTTTAAAAATGCTCACTTTAGTAGGTTCAGGGGACTGGTTAGGTACTAGGGTACCTAACTGGCAGGGTACTAGGAATCAAGAGCCTAGATGCTTTGGGGGTCCAGGATGGGTGGTCATTCCTCAAGGAAACCATCCTTTAGACTCAGAGTGAGACAATCTCATGGCAGAGGAAAGGGGGCAAAGGGACCAGGAAGCTCCTTTGGCTAACCAGGGTCATCCAGGATACCTTAAGAGCAAAAAAAGAAGCATACAGGGAGTGGAAGCAGGGGGCAGCTAGCAAGGAGGAGTACACTTCTTTGGCCCTCGCCTGCAGGGAGTCAGTCAGAAAGGCCAAGGCAGCTCTAGAACTCAGGCTAGCAGCAGGGATTAAGGACAATAAAAGTCCTTCTTTAGGTACATTGGGAGCAAAAAAAGGGTACAGGGTAGCATAGGACCCCTACAGAATGGGGCTTAGTGTCAGGTAGCAGGGACAAGGCAGAGCTTTTCAATGAGTTTTTTTGCCTCTGTCTTAAATAAGAATCTAGATGAACCCTCTAGATGCATCACGGACACCAACAAGGGGAACATCAGCTGACCAATGGTCAGTGCCGATACGGTAAAAAGACACTTGGAGGGACCGGACGTGTTCAGATCACTGGGACCAGAGGGACTCCACCCATGGGTAATGAAGGAATTAGCAAGTGTCATAGCTGAACCTCTGGCAAGGATATATGAGCACTGATGGTGCTTGGGTCAGGTCCCAGAGGATTGGAAGAGGGCCAATGCCACCCCAATGTTTAAGAAGGGGAGGGAGGAGGATCCAGGGAATTATCGACTGGTCAGCCTTACCTCTGTCCCTGGGAAAATCCTAGAAAAAATGATCAAGGAGCACATCCGTGGGAGCCCACTGGCTAATGTGATGCAGAGGGGTAACCAACATGGGTTTATAGCAGGCAGGTCCTGCCTGACTAGCCTAGTTTCTTTTTATGACAAGGCCACCAAATGTTTAGATGCAGGAGTTGAGGTGGATGTTACCTATCTGGACTTCAAGAAGGCCTTTGACACAGTATCCCATACCATCCTTATAAATAAACTGAGGAGATTTGCCTTGGATGCTTATACAGTAGACTGGGTAGCAAACTGGCTCAAGGGTTGCACTCAGAGAGTGGTGGCGGATGGGTCAGTGTCAACCTGGAAAGATGTGTGCAGTGGAGTCCCCCAGGGCTCAGTTCTGGGGCCAATACTGTTCAATATCTTCATCAGTGATCTGGATGAGGGGGTGGGAAGCACCCTGTCCAAATTCGCCGATGACACAAAAATGTGGGGTGAAGCTAACACCCTGGAGAGGTGGAACCAGATCCAGGCTGACCTAGACAGGTTGGGGAAGTGGGCAGAGAGCAACAGGATGCAATTCAATAAGGAGAAGTGCAAGGTGCTGCATCTAGGGAGAAAGATCTGCTATCATACCTACAGGCCAGGGGGTGACCTTCTTAGCACCACTGAGGCAGAAAGAAATCTTGGAGTGTCTGTTGACTCCAGGAGGAACATGAGTCATCAATGTGATGGAGTAGTCAGCAGAGCCAATCGCACCTTGTCGTGCATCCATAGGTGCTTCACAAACAGGTCCAGGGAGGTGATTCTCCCCCTCTATGTGGCACTGGTCAGGCTGCAGCTGGAGTACTGTGTCCAGTTCTGGGCGCCGCAGTTCAAGCGGGATGCGGACAACCTGGAGAGGGTCCAAAGAAGAGCCACTCGTCTGATTAGAGGCCTCCAGGGAAGGCCATATGAGGAAAGTCTAAGGGACCTTAACCTCTTCAGCCTCTCCAAGAAAAGGCTGAGAGGGGACCATGTGGCGGCGTACAAATTCATAAGGGGAGAGCGACACGAAGTAAGCGATGATCTGTTTACCAGGGCACCCTCTGGAACAACAAGGAACAATGGCCATAAGTTACTGGAGAGAAGGTTTAGACTGGGCATTAGAAAAAAGTTCTTAATGGTCAAGGTTGCCAGGATCTGGAATGGGCTTCCAAGGAAGGTGGTGCTTGCCCCATCCTTGGGCGTCTTCAAGAGGAGACTGGACAGGCACCTGGCTGGGTTCACATGATCCCAGGTATGGTGAACCTTCTCTTGCCTGCTGGGGCAGGGGGTCAGACTAGACGGCCCACTGAGGTCCCTTCTGACCCTAGAATCTATGAATTCATAACTTGCTGACAGTCAGGATTTATAATGGAAAATACTGTTCTCTGAACCAAGTGGTTCACCAAGGTTCAGGGCATAGCAGGTTGTTCCCACAGAGAGGAGAAAGAGATGATGGAGCCAGGTATTTTTTCAATGCAGTCCTGTCCATTTACAAAGAATGGATATACAGTCCTGTTTATCCTGAACAGAGTAGGAATCAAACAGCATGACACAGCTTCTTTGCTTACAGTTCTAAAACTCTTGCCAACCACCACTTTTTCCAAAAAGCTCTCTCTGAGTTTATTTTCAGAGTTCAGCATGCAGCTGCAATAAAAATCAGTCTCCCAGCTCTTCAGAATAATACAACCATCTCGTTATTATATTCACACTCGTGGTGGTTATCAAGCTGCTCACTACATGGTACCATGCTCCTCTATTGCTGTGTGGCACTAGCACAAGACTGACAATCTAACAAGTAATTGTTTTAGCAGCTGATTTTTCCAAGAGCTCTAAATCTTAGTGACAGGATAGCAGTATTTAGACCACTGTGAAAGCTTATGGGGAGGACATGGGCTGCACCAGTATTTATTTTATTGTTATAGCATGGACTTTCCAAGCCTGCCATGGTGGGAAGTAGATGTGTGCAAAGCGGGCCCTATTCAATTCAAATTCAGCTCAGATTGGGGCCAGTGATTCAATTCATTGATTTGGATCACTGTCCCTGATTTGATTGGCCGAATCTGAAGATTTGATACTAATTCAGAGAATCAGCGATTTGTACATAGACACAGCTTAAAATGTTTTTTCTACATATCTCGAGGTACCAGCATGGCTTGTGAATGCTGCGATGCTGGGGCAGATGGAGTGTCCCAGAGGAACATGGGGGGGGCCCACGTGCTTGGCAAAGAACCCAGAAGTGGACCAGAAGTACGTCCGGTCCACTGGGGAGTGCGCAGGGAGGGCCCCCCCCCATGGCTTGGCGATCAGCTGCAGGAGGACCCCGGGTGCCCCCCCAGACCCAGGAGGCACCAGTTGCCTAGCCGGAGGGGGTGTGGGCCCCCCCACATGCTTCCTGGTGGACCAGGAAGTGGACTGGAAGTGCTTCTGGTCCACTTCCAGGTCTGCTGCCGAGCGTGCTAGGGATCCCCTCACACTCCTGTGGGAGGCTCCATCCTCCCCAGTATCTCAGCGTTCATGAGTCGCCTGCTACCTAGAGGCGTGTAGAAAAAACATTTAAAGCTGTGTCTATGTCCAAATCAACAAATCTCTCCGAATCGATTTGGAGGGTTCCAATTCAAGTTGGAGAAATTAAAGGGTCCTCTGATTTGCTTTGGATTTGGAGATTCAGCCACAGAATCGGGCCGAATCTCCACAGAATTGAATCAGGGACCAAAGCTTCGCACAGCCCTAGTGGGAAGCTCTGACATTGCAAGCTTCCTAAAAACACCTTCTTTTTCCAGGGATTATAGTGAGCCAACACTATAACTATAGCTGAAACTGAAACTTTATTTTCTGGCCTCTGTCATGTGGCTTGGTCATGGTTTTAAAACCAAATATATTATGCTTTTAAGAGCCATTGATTCCAGGGGTTCAGGTGGTAAACTTCATGCAGGTTCTAAGGATTCTGACTGATGATTTGGATGATAATCAGGGCCCTTGGCCCCCCACATAAGCTCCCTGTGCCAGCTTTACATTTCTGATTTGGTTTTAAATAACTTTTAAATGTGCTTTTCATGGTCTCATGTTTGGCCCTGTGGACAACATTTTGCCAAACTTTTTTGAAAAACTTCATATTGACAAGCTGTTCTGTAACTGAGCTGTACTAAAAGAGCACAAAAGGAGTCATTAGAAGAATTTCAGACTCAGATAATCTCTAGATTTTTAAAATGGTATATGAAAACAACCTAGTTAAGAAAGATGAATTTAAGAATAAAGATTTCTGGCCAAAATCACCAACGCCACATTTTAAATTGAATTAATGGAAAAAAGAAGGAAAGGAGGCAAATTTTAATTTAGGCCAAGCGTGGCTTGCAATTTAAAATCCATCTGTAAAAGATTAAAGCCTTCTCTTAATTTATAAACAAATACATTTCTTCAAAATCTTAGAAAAAAATCAACTTCTCTTTACATGCCCTTGACCCTTAACTGTGAATATCAGTATTGTGTGTGCGCCTGTTAAATTATAATTTTGTGTCTTTAAAATCACAGCTGTCTTGTAAAGTTTATAGCTAGAGGTGCACCGGCAGAGGCTTTGGGGGCTCACACAGATAGCCGATTTTTAAGGAGACATATCAGCTGATACCAATCCAATTTCCGATACGGAGCTCAACAGCTTGAAGAGAAGTGTCTGGCTGGTAAGTCTGTTGTGGTGGAAGGGGAGGGGCAGATCGAGGTCCCTGTGGTGAGTGGGGCTGGGGCAGGGGCTGTGCAGCCAGGGCAGGGCAGGGCATGGGATAGAGCCATGGCTCATCTGAAGGGTGTGGGTAGGGGGAGCTGGCTCCTACTGCTCTGTGCACCCTGGGAGAGCATAGGGGGCGTGTCCCTGGATCTGTGCATAGTGGGGTGGGCTGCTGCTGAGGGCTGGGGCTGGAGCTGTGCTGGGCTCTTCCCGGCAGGGCGTTTGGGCTGGGCTGGGCTGGGCTTAGGACGGGCATTGGCAACACTGAGAGTGAGGGTTGGGGAGGCTGCAGCCACCCCAAAATTTGCCATAGTTCCCCCACCCCCCCACTCCCAGTGCCACCGCCTGTCCTGAGCGCAGCACAGCCCAGCCCAGCCCCTGCCAGGAAGAGTCCAGTGCATCCCTGGCCCCAGCCTGCAGTGGCAGCCCACCCCAACCTGCTCCATGCAAATCTGGGGGGACACACCTCCCATGCCCTCCCGATGTGTGCGCAATGGCAGGAACTGCCCCCCCCCCCCCCCCCCAGTGCCCCCTGGATGTTCTATCCTGTGCCACAGCACACCAGGGCTGGGCAGCACCTGCCCCAGCCCCACTCTCTCCCTCATCACAGGGGCCTTGATCTGCC